TGGAGACCCCTGGGGTGATTAACCTGGGTGCTGGAGAGAGCCCAAGGTGCCTGTGCTGGTGGGATCTGTCAGGCCACGCTCGGGGCGCAGGGGGGGGTGGCCCCCAGGGCCCATCCGATTTGTGCCCACGTTTGCAGGAGGGGGCTGAGCCGCCAGACTTGTTCACCGTGCCGCCGAGAGCAGGAAGGAGACGGGGGTCCTCCCGCAGCTGATGCTGCCCGATGGACCCCACACGTGGCCCCAACCAAGGCCTGGCATCTGCTTTTCTCTCCCTGGCTGCTGTGATGGGGCACAAGGGGCAATGCAGGGGGGCTGGTGCTGTGCAGCCTCTTTTACCCACTGGCTTGTTGTTCCTGGTGGGCTGATAACAAGAGCTCTCAGCCTAGAGGTAGCCTCTGCCCCCTACTAGCCATGAGGCCGTGGCCCCAGGCCATGGGCTTTACAGGTCATTGGGCAGCGTGGAGGGGTTGACCAGCTGCCCCCCAGCCTGGGCAGGACCTGTTTGACTGGATACGAAGAGCCCACAGGCAGCTCTTGTTACCCCAGCTTGGCTTTCATTTCTGTCCGATGAAATGTGGATTGGCGGGGGATGCATACCCTAATTCATGTTGGGAGGGAAAATATCCAGGCCCCCAACATGGTGTGTGTGTGTGTGTGTGTGTGCGATGCTTCCACCTTCCAGTGCCCCCTGTGGCCCATGGGGATGGTTAGATTCCCCCCAGGTTGCGTGTCCCGTGGCCCCGTGCTGAGCATTTGGGTCATTGAAAGAGCCGGGGGGTGTTTTTTGGGGCGGGCACTCAGCACTTCCTGAAACCCAAGCCCTCTCTGCGCTCGGCTTCCAGAATCGCTCGGAAAACCTCGGTCGGAAAACCTCGGTCATCCTCCAGCTGGGAGTGGAGTTGCTGAGATCCGGCAAGGGAGGAGGGTGGACGTGGGGGATGACAGCAGCTCAGTGTAGCCCCTACCTGTCCTCTAATTGAGGGGCAGGGGGTATTGGGAGACCTGCTCCTACTTATGCAGCTGCTCTGCTTGGCTTGTTTCTGCCTTGGTTTTGGAGGAGGGGAGCTGGGAAAAGACATAGGTAGTGGCTTGAGTAGAAGTCAGGGTAGGTTGGCACCTTGTAGACTAACCTGAGCACACACGTGTGTGGGGTAATGCTCCTCTAGTGCATATGATGGCATATCATTGACTTCTTGGGCCCGGAGCTTGCTTCTGATGCTGGCAAAACCCAAGGGCTCTTGGTTTTCGGATTCCCCGTCTCCCCTCTGCTTACCCTGGCTTCCTGGCGCAATGGAGAAACCTGGTAGCTGGGGACTGGCAGAGGCACGCGCTTCCCCTGCTGCCGTAGCACGAGCTGAAAGCACTGGGATGATCCCAAATGCGGCTGTACGGAGCCAGGATGACAATAGCGGCCTGGGCCCAATGGCCTTACGGGCTCCTTGTTCCACCAGGGTGCATGTGCATGTGCACATATGTGCTAGGCCGGGGCTGCCATGTGAGGAACGAGACAGGCCCTGGCGTGTTGCTGGCACTGGACCCGGCTCCCATGGCTGAATCACTGGATCCTGTGGGGCTCCATCCTTATCTCCCATGGGCTGCGCCTGCTGGGAGCCGGGTTCCCACAGGTGGGCGGCATTCATGTTTCACTTTGGCACAGCTGATAACGGCACCCTGCTTTTGATCTTGGGATGAAATCCCACCAGGCCTCTTCATTTTAAAGCCCTTCCCAGCAGTGGGTTCGGATGGGCAGGGTTGTGGGATCTCCCGCACTTGTAATTAGCGTGAAGCGGCTGATGTCAGTTTTCCTTGGGGTTAATTAAGCAGCTTTAATTAAAATACAGTCTCTAGGTGATCTTGGAAGCAGGGGAGCAACGAAGCCTTTTTCTCAGAGTAACTGCTGCTGTTTGTGGGGCTCTGTGCCTGGGCAGGTGAGGGGGGAAGGAGCTGGCGAGGGGGCCTGGCCCAGCTTGCTTGTCCCTGGGGGTCTCTTCCAGGTCGGGGTGGGTTGGCGTGGCCTAGGCCGAAGTCTGCTTTGCACAGTTATCTGCAATGGATGGCAATGCCAGGAGATGCGCCCACCCCAGCCTGTCTCAGTCTGCTGGGTGCAGCACGTGCATCCCCCCAAGCTGTCCGGACCCCTGGGTCCTGCTCCCTGCGTTGCCCTGCTGTTGGGCCCTGAGTTGGGCAGTCAGGAGCCAAGCATGGGGCAGTGGGCATGTGGGTTCATCCCCCAGTGAGCTCCTGGCACTGGGGCAGGCGCTGGCACCATGCCCCAGCTGAGCCCTGGCCCATCTGGGCGCGCTGGGGGTCCAGGCCAGGGAGCTCCTCCGGTGCCGCGTGTCTCCGTTTGCTGGGAATCATCCAAGGCTCTTGGTTTGCAGACGAGCCCGGGGCTTAGCTCAGGGTAGGGGCAAACCAGCCCTGTCTCCTCCCCAGCTGCCACTGCGATCCCTTTTCCCAGCCCCATCTGCTGCTCTTCTTTCTGTTCCCTGCCCCGTCAGCTGCTTTGCCTTCTGTCTGATCTGTTGCTCTGCTTTCTGCCCTGTGGCCCTCACCCCATCAGTTGCTCTAGTTTCTGATCTCTGCTCCCTTTTTGATTTGTTGCTCTGGTTTCTGCTTCTTGCCCTGTGCCCCCTGGCTGCTCTCCTTTCTTGTCCCTGCCCTCTGTTCCCTGTCTGATCTGTTGCTCTGCTTTTCGCTCCCTGCCCCACCTGCCACTGCTGCCCGTCTCCTCTCTGATCTGTTACTTGCCACTTGTGTCTCGCAGTGGCCGCCCTGGCGTGGCTTGCGGCTCAGGACTGGGAGATATGGGGTATGTTCGTCTAATACCTAGGCCTGCGGCGGTGGGGGGGTGGCAGGACCCTGTCTGGGTGCCCCTAAGAGAGTCTGACCGCGCGCCATTCCTGAAAGGGGGGGCATGCTAGGGGGTGCCATGTGCTAGGGGCTGCATGTACTGCAGGGCAAGAGGTGGCACATGGGATAGACCCTCTCCTTCCATGCAAGGCAGCAAACTCATTGCCCCCCCGCGCCAGGCTCGGGGTTCATCGGGGCTGGCCCCCCCGTGCCAGGCTTGGGGTTCATCGGGGCTGTGTGGGTGGGTGCCATGGGGCGTCTGGCCCACCTCTTGCCCAGGTGGTAGCATTCATTAATCCTTGCATGACCCAGCTGATACCTCTGCTCTGGGATTCCTGCCTGGCCCTGATGCAAGATCCCCTGGGTAAAAATGTGGGGGGCGGGTCAAAGCCCCTTCCCATGATGGGAGAGTAAACTGGGCTTGCTACCCGCTCTCTGCAGCCGCTACAGCCCCAGCCCCCTTGGGCCCACAGCTATACTGTGCTAGGGGGCTGTGTTGCTTCACCCTGTTCGGGATGCTTCAGGGGTTGCCGCTGGCTCCTACATTGATCTATAGGAAGTAGGTGTCCAAATCTCCTAGGCTGCATGCAGCAGCTCAGCTGGTTTCTGGGGAGGAGGTGGTGACCCCTCCTCAGGTATCTTAGGGGGCAGATGCCATGTTAAACCCTCCTGGTAGGGTGCAGGGAAGCTCTGACAGCCCCCTGTCCTGTGAAGGCAGCAGGGAGTATGGCGCAGTGGTTACAGCTAGCGGAGGCGGGCAGGACTCCTGGGTTCCACGCTTGCAGCCGGCTTCAGGCCAGTTGCTTCGCCCTTCCCCATGCCACTTGGTAGTGCCAGGCGCTGGATGAATGTGCCACAGACACCATCATGCCACGGAGACCGTGTGCTCCCCTGACTGTAACTTGCAGGCTAGCGTGAAGGGCTTGAGACCTTTTTAAATGCCCAGCGGGCACCCCCCAGCCCTTTAAAAGCCCCAAGATTCACCCTGGGCCCCTTCTCTGGCAGGGACAGCCCTGCCCACTGCCCTGGCTCTCTGACTAGGGCCTGGAGTGGGAGCCCAACAGAGCTGCTTTGTCTGCCTGAAGAGGAGGAGGGGATGAAGGCAAATAGAAACTGCTACTTCTTCAAGTAGATGAGCTAATATTAGGTCTGGCAGGGCTGCCGGGGCGCGGTGCTCTGGGCCAGCCTGCTCCTGAAGGGAAATATTGATTGCCCCGGCCTGTTGTGTATCCGCATCATGGCCACTGGCCTCGGGCTTTGGCAGCAGGGGTCGATTTCGGCTGCTTCCAGCACCCCGGAGTCGGGGTCCTGCGGGGGAACAGGTCCCATCCCCCACAGAGAGTGGGGCTGTACCTTTGTGACAGTGAAATGGCCCGTGTCCCAGGTGGCGATTGGGTGGGGGAAACTGAGGTATGAGGAGGGGAATTGACCACCCAAGGCAGCGGTGGAATCCAGGTGTCTTGCCTCAGTTTTCCCATCTGTATAATGGATGCAGGGGGCCCTTCCTCCTTTGTGGGGTTGTGATGAGTGGCATGGGACGACTGTCAGAGCTGCAGGGTGTTTGGGCAGAGGGGGTGCTCAGGCTTGGGCTGTGAGCTTCCCTGCTAGGGTGCAGGCAGCAGCCGCTGGGGGTGGGTTGGGGCCCCTCCGCCATCGGGGATCAGGCGGGTGCCCCTAGTCCCAGCGCCCGGCTGGAACCTGAGCCGTTTGGGGCTTGTCTGAGTTCCTGCCCGAGCCTGTTTGGTCAGATGATCTGCTTCCCTCTTCCGCCTGGTGAGGGGGGTGGCGAGCCCCACGCCAGGCACTGCCCGCCTGGGAGGGACTTGCCTGGCCTGGGCCCGGCCCCTTCCTCCTCCGCCCCCTCTGCCAGGCCTGGCGCTTCCAGGTTTTGGTATCTCACACCTGAGGTGGGGGGGCACAAGCATAGCACCCTGCTAATCCTTCCCCCTGCCCAGCATCCACTCAGCTGTGCCAGGCCTGGGCCTGCCATGCTGGGCACTCGCCCCTTGATTCCCACTCCAGCCTGGGCTCCAGCCTGTCTCTCTTCCCCCCCCCCCCAAAAAAAAAATGTTTATTGCCCTTGAGCAGGATAAGTACTCCCCTGCCTCAGTTTCCCTCTGTGTGAGACTGGAGGTGCTGACCCCAGTGTGTGGGCTTTAGGGGGTGAGGAGGTTGGGTGCCAGGGACTGGGTGGAGGTGAGCATACAGCGCCAGGCGCCACCATCCCAGGGGGCCGTGTGGATCGGGCTGGGGGCTCCCCAATGAGCCCGGCTGCATTGGAGCAGGAAGGCAGAGGGTTTCCATGTCTCCTTGGCGCTTCAACCTTCCCTGGTTGCCCGTGGGTCAGGGGAAGGGGATGGGAATCTGCACCAGGCCCAGTCTGGGCGGTCGTGGGAGCCCTCTCTGACCCGGGCGGTGACAGTCAGACACGGGGTTGAGTACAGGCTCCCTGCCCTGGGGACAGCTCGTCCCCTTCCCGAGTATGCAGCCTCGTGCTGCTTGAATGGCTCCGGGTCCCCTCGCGCCAGGCACCGTACAAACCCCAAGGGACTTTGCTGCCTTGTGCTCCCTCCCCACCATCCTAGTCATCTGGAGAGCGTCTTCAGTCGCTTGCATGTCAGTCATTCCCTGGGACTCAAAAGTGTCAGGCTTGTATATGAAGCTGCGGGGGGGGGGGTTACAAGACCCCCCGCTCCCCTTTCTGAGCTGATCCACTATGGTCACGAGTTGTCACAGCCTCAGCTGTCAGATCTCGGCTCCCGGCTTCTCCTTTTCCACCCCATCTTCTGCAGCTGTGGAGGCTGGGACTTCTCCCCTGACTCCAGGAGATGGGAATTTAAGGCTAGGTGGGGGAAGCCCTACTGTATAGGGCCAGCTGCAAACCAGGGGTTTCCTCCCGTGAGACTGACCGGCTCCGATCCCTGCCCCTCTGCTCCATGCTGGGCATGGATTATACCAGGGCTGGGTCTGCCCCTGGGTTGAGCTGCAGATGGGCAGGTCTGGCACCTGTGGTGTTGGGAGCCCTGGGAATCCCCCTCCCCTGGGTCATGGCAGGAGGCAGGTGCAGGAGCTGTAGAGGAGCCAGACCAGGTGATCGAGGCCCTGAGATAACCTGGACCCTTCCCCCTTCCTTCCTTGCCCAGAGTCGGGTTGTCTGTTAATCATCTCTGTGACACTCTGGGCCGGGGGCAAAGTCCTGGAGCTCGGGCCCAGCTAGCAGGTCAGGATTTCTCAACTGCAAGGTGCTGGCGTGTCTGGGTGGGTGAAGTGGGGGAGCTGGATGCTCCAGGAGATGGTAGTTCAAGGGAACAGGGCACGGCCAAGGGTCCCCCTCCCTGTCCCCTCTGCTAGCAGCGTCTGGAGTCCTGGCTGTATCGTGATGCCCATGGTCAGGGGGGCTCTGTGCCACCCCCCGAAACCCTTCCCTAGATCCCACCTCCATGGCAGCAAGTGCCCTGCTCCCACCCAGAGGCGGTTGCATTTTAGGGTGGGCTGGGAAATGGGGCAGCCTCCAGGGGGTTTTGCCATCCCGTGTTCCCTGCTCCGAGGCACAGGTTGAATTTTTCCCCATATCTCTGCAGCAGCCTAGGGGAGGCTCCAGTCTTGCCCATCTCTTGTCCCGGGTCTGTGGAGCACCTAGCACTGTGGGGCGACCTGATCTTAGTCGGGGGGGTGTGCTACTGGGGGACCGTGGCTACTAGGGACATGGTGGCGTCTCTTAGTGACCGTCGGCCAGGCCTGGGCATGGCAGCAGATGTGCACGTGCCTTTGGGAGCACCTGGCACCAGGCTGAGTGTAGCAGAGTTGGAGCCTGAGCCACCTGGGTTGGGGGCTGGTTTGGGGGTTAAGACCAGCCAGCTGGAGGGGGCAGGCGTGGATGGGTGGGCTGTGGTGTTAGTGGTGGGATACGGGCCTGCTTGGCTGGCTGTCCTGCTGGTGGCGGGGAGGGGAGCGGTGCCCAGCCACAGTGGGTCCTGCTCCATCCCAGCCTCTCCTCCACTGACCTTGCAGGCACCTGCCTGGCAGGCCCGAACCCTGGCTGTGCCCAAACCAGCCCTGAGCTCTACCAGGCACCATGGGGCTGGGGTTCTGGGTTTGAGTGGGTGCATCTCCCATGCCAAAGGCTGGCTCCTGGCCCATGCACGAGAGAGGGTGCGGCTGAGCCAAGCCAGGACCCCAAGGCTTCGGCCCAGGCCTGGTCTGGGTAGGCAGGGACTGTGCTGGGTTGTGGAGCTCCCTTGCCGACTGTGTCCCCGCCCTGACTCAGTGGACCGGAGCAGGGGCAAAGTCTGTACACGGAGGCCAGCACAGTCCGTGGGGCTTGGAGGTGGGGGGCAGAGTCTGGGGCCGCAGCTCATGGGGGTATGGCCACAGGACCCAGCTTCTGGGGGTGCTGGAGGCATCCAGAGCATCCACCCCATGGGCAGCGATGGGGGTCTCGGGCCCAGGATCTCAGGGCTTCCAGCTGCCTGGTGGGGTGAGGTGGGGATGGGGGCTTTTCATGTGCCTGCCTGGCCCCAGCCCAGTGCTCTGCTCCCTGCCCCCTGGGCATGGCGCAGAGGGAGCAGAAGGAAAGTGGGAGTTGCCTTTTAGGATCCCGGCCTGTTTTTGGGGCAGAGCTGGGTGTCCTAATCCATGGTCCCTGGGCTGCCAGTGAATCGCCCCTACCCAGCCCTGTCACCTCCCTTCCTTTGTGTGTGTGAAACGTGTGTGATACAGCCCGCGGCCCGCAACTACCACAGAGCCAGGGGCAGCTGCAGCCCAGACAGCCAGACTCCTGGGTCCCATTCCCAAGCCGCCATCCGGACCTCTCTCTTAATGGTCACCCAGGGATGTTTTGTTTTCCAGGGTTGGTATTTGAGACACGCCCTGACACGGGCCATGTCCTAATCCAGCCAGCCTGCGTGTGTGTGTACACATGCTCACACCCAGTGCCCCCAGTCTAGACTCTCTGGGGTTTGCACTGGCTGGGAGGCCATGTTCCAGTTTCCATCTCCATCTGGATCAGGGCTGCTAATGCCACCCTGGGCTGCTTCCCTTTGTCAATGTGAGGATTTGGGAGCCTTTCTGGTAGGGGAAGGGGCTGGTTGCCAGCCAGGAGGATGAGGAGGCTGGGGGTGACGTGTGGATGCTCCCAGCTGGGGAGGAGGCTTGGACCCGGAGGCTGTGATGCTCTGGTGAGATGCTGGTGCTGGGCTGTGAGCAGCGCAGGGGGGACAAACCTCTGGCAGGACGTGAGCCAGGTTGTAGACTGGTGTTTCATAGCACTATCCGGAGGCAGGAAACCCTGAGAAGGGGTAAGAGCATTTTGCAGTATCCCGAGGCAGACAGTTAGTGCTCCTTGTCCTGGGACAACGGGCCCGGGTGTCTGTATGCTCACGCTTTGTTTTGGGCTTCTCCTGGCATGAAGGTGTGACCTCTGTAGCCTAAGTACCAGTGCTAATGGCACTTGTCCTGGCACAGAGAGGACCAGTGGCAGCTGGGACAGTCCTTTCTTTCAGGAGTCTGACTCTGTCCCAGCAAGTGATACCACCCCCAAGGTCTCTGGCTCTGCATGCTGCTCCTGCGCCCAGATCCTCTCCCAGCCATGCGCCGGCATCTCCCGGGCACAGCAAACTTGCTTGCCCAGCCGGTGTCGAGGGTCTGCCCGGCTGCAAGCATTGTCCACGCTCGGGGCGTGATGGGTTGAACCTGTAGCCGTGCGGAGACTGCGATGTCTGGGGTGCCCATCTGATCCACGGGTGGATCTGAGGAAGGCTCTGTGGGGCTGCAGGCACTTGATTTTTATTTTTTAATTGTTTTTTTCCCCTCCCACGTCTGTGTCTCTCCATCCCGCTGCTCTACAATAATCCTCCAGCCCCCGAGGCGCCTGCAGCTCCTGCCCTGCCAAGGGACCCCAGGGCGCGTCTGCCGTGAAGCCTCTCCGCCCACGCCAGGGGTGTGGCTACCCGGGGCCGTGCTGCGGCACGCGGCGTTGGCGGAGGGAGGATCTGCAGCACACGCCTGGCTCCGCTTCGGGGCTGCCACCCCGCCCATTTCCACCTGGGGGGGATGAACAGTACCCGGCGCGAGCTGATGAACCCCCCGGGGCCCAAAGGGGCTGGAGCTGGGGGCTGTCAGCACCTGGGCACATGGGGCCGGGGCTGTGCAGGGACCAGGTTGCCCTCACGCAGGCCGACCTCGGTGAGGCCAGTGGGTGGCTGTGGGCTACAGGAGCATCCTCCTTCCCTGGCTGGACCCCATCGGGCTCTGGGCAGCCAGGGCGTCCGTGGGTGCAGCTGGCCGAGCCCCCGGCCCGGCTCCAGCTGCCGGCGTCTCAATGCCTCCATTGAGCTGCGGGGAGGCCAGGCACTCGTCCCAGCCACGTGCAGCCCCCTTCCCTCCCGGCGCTGTCGGGCCCTGGCCCCGGTGCCCCCGTGCTGCGCTGGCCGATGCCTTGATTGCTTCTCCCGCAGGCCCTGCCAGGACGGGGCAGCGCGGAGCCGGGGGGCGCGTGCTGGCTCCCAGCCTCTGATGCCAGCGAGTGCGGGGACCCCGAGGGGAACGTGGCCCCTTGGTGCCACGAGCTGCCCCCTCCGATCGGGCGGGACCTGAGGCACCGATGGGAGAGGAGTGAAACGGGGTGCAGGGGCCCTGGGTCGCGCCTCCGAGGGGCCGGGGCATCTCCTCGCACCCAGTCCCGAAGGCCTCGCCTCCTTCCCCATTGGTGCAGAGCCCCGCCGGCCCCGCCCCCCACTTCCCGTCCCAAACGGTCACCGGCTTCGCACGGCTGGAGGGGTCCCCCGGGGCCGAGGGGTATCGAGGCCAGGCCGGGGGGCTGGGGCGCGGCTGACCCCGCGCTGTCCCTCAGGATGTTGCAGACTCTGTACAACTGCTTCTGGTGGGACCGGCTGTGGCTGCCGGCCAACCTGACATGGGCCGACCTGGAGGACCGCGATGGCCGGGTCTACGCCAAGGCGGCCGACCTGTACATCATCCTGCCCCTCGCCTTCCTCTTCCTCCTCGTCCGGCACCTCTTTGAGATGTAAGTATGGGCCAGGGAGGGGGGGTTCAGCTCCTGGGTGCCCTGCGGACCCACCTGGGGGTGCGGTAGGAGCCGGGCTGTACCAGGCACCAGGTGTCCAGGGTCCCCGTGAGCCCTCCCCCTGCCTTTGAGCTGGGGATGGGACCCAAGCGACCAGGCTCCACTCCCTTGCTCCACCCCACTAAGCCAGGTGTAGCCCAGGTTACGAGCCCAGGTGTCCTGAACCCCCCCAGGCCAGCGGACCCCCTCTTCCTCCCATCCCCAGGCTGCCCTGAGCCCTGGACTGAGCTGCAGTCCATCCCCCCAGCCCGCGTGGGGGCAGGGCCGGGCCGCGGGCAGCACAATGGGGCGCTTTGTGCCTCCCAGTGGTGGTGGCGGTGCCGGGGGGCCGGCGTGTCGCCACAGGCACAGACTGGCTTTGTTGGGCACCCACGGCAGGGCACCGCGGGGGGGAGGAGCCCGCTGGGAGCTCTGCCCGCTCCGTAGACTGAGAACAGCTGGTTTTGGGGGGCGTTCCCGGTGCTCCCCATCACTCCCAGCCAGGATTGGGCCCGCTGCGGCAGGGGTGAGAGCAGTATCCTGGGGTAAAGCCTGTCGCAAGCAGATGAGCCCCAGCTGGTCTGGTCTGACTGCCCCCCACCCCAGGATCGGGGTAGATATCAGTGACCCTGGGGCAAGTGCACATGATCTGCCCTGGGGTAACTCCCTGATCCTTCCCCGTCCTGCCCCCACCCTGGTGGCCTCCATGACTTCTTCCCAGTTGCTCCCAGGAGCTGGTCCCAGTTGGGGGCGGCTGCAGAAATCCCTTGTCATGGGTGATTTCAGGGCTGGGGGGATGAGGGGCCTGCCGGCAGGTCGCTAAGTGCTCCCCAGGGGGGCTCCGTGCCCCATGCTGCCACGGGGGACCTGAAGCACGGGGCAGTGGCAGTGACGCTCCCAAGTTCGGACCCCAGGCGTCCAGGGCGCTCTCCACTAGGCCACGTTGCCTCCGAAGGGAGCAGGAGCTCCTTGTTCTCCAGGGGTGGGGGGCAGCCATGTGGACGTCTAACCTCCCCCCAACCCCACAGTTACGTGGCCACCCCATTGGCCAGACTCTTGAACGTCAAGGAGAAGGTGCGGTTGAAAGCCAGCCCCAACCCCACGCTGGAGCAGTTCTATGTCACGGCCTCCAAGCACCCCAAGCAGGTACGAGGGGCCCCTGCTGGCCCTGGGGGAGCAAGCTGGGGTCCGTCCCACCTCCCTGAGCCCCTGGGGGGGTCTGACTTGGGGGTCTCCACATGTAGTGAAGCCCTGGGGAGGAGGGGAGGTAAGGGGCCCAGTGCCCAGGCAGTTGGGCACTGCAGGACCCCTGCGCTGGTCCTGATGATGAGAGGGGGCAGGGGGCTATGGGTTGGGAGTGAGGGGCACTGATGTGGGGGGGCAGGGTCTGGTTTCACCCAAAAAATTGGGGCTCAGACATGGCCCCCGGGGCTCCGAGTTGGCCCCAGCGGCCGGACAGACGGATGATAAGCCACTGGGGTCTCCCCCCGCTAGACGGACGTGGAGCTGCTGGCCAAGAGCAGCAGCTGCTCGATGCGGCAGGTGGAGCGCTGGTTCCGGCGCCGGCGCAACCAGGACCGGCCCAGCCTGCTCAAGAAGTTCCGGGAAGCCAGGTAGGAGCCGGGCCGGTGGTTGTGGGGGGGTGAGGGGCCCAGCTGGGCTGCAGGGGTGGGCAGGGAGCTGCCTGGAGCCCTCCCAGTACCAGCCCTTGGGGCATGGCAGGGCAGAACTTTCTCAGCATCTTGGAGAAGGGCCTGGCCCCGCTGGGGAAACTGAGGCATGGGGAGGGGTGGAGACAGAACAAGGCAGTGGGAGTGGAGACGGAGAAAGAGCCCAGGAGTCCTGGCTCTCCTGCTCCTGCCCTGCAGCCCTCCCCGACCTGGGGAGAGAACCCAGGAGTCCTGGCTCCCAGCCCCTAGCTCCAGGGAGGGAAGGAAGCACCCATGGGCCCCAGCACTTTTCTCCCTGCCCCACATCAGTCCCTACAGCCTGGGCTGAGCTCCCATAGGGAGCAAACGGCACCAGAGATGTCCAAGTCAGCACTGCCCCCGGCTCCAGGCTCTGCTCCTGGGTGGGGACTTTCCTAGGGTCGTTTTCCCCTCTGACTAGTGCGGGTCTGAGCACCGTCTGCTTCCTTCTTCCAGTTGGCGATTCACCTTTTACCTTCTTGCTTTCATTGCTGGCATGGCCGTCATAGTGGATGTAAGTAGGACCCTGCCCCCCTCGCCCCTGGCCCCCACAGCCTGGCAGAGCTGTGCGCCAACCTCGGTCTCTGTTTCTCCCCTGGCAGAAACCCTGGTTCTACGACCTGCGGGAAGTGTGGAAAGGCTACCCCATCCAGGTGAGTGCCCGCAGGATGGCCCCCATACTCCCCACCCCATCCAGGTGAGTGCCTACAGGACCACCCCACATGGAGTTGCCCTGCTTTGGGATACAGCTGGGGAATCCCCATGGGATGGAGCAGTGCAGGGTATAGGACACACGACCACAGGGTCACAAACTGGGGCGGCGGGGGACCCGGGCCTGGCTCAGCCCAGCCCCCTTGGCTTTGCAGAGCATGCTGCCCTCCCAGTACTGGTACTACATGATCGAGCTGTCCTTCTACTGGTCCCTGCTCTTCAGCATCGCCTCCGACGTTAAGCGCAAGGTAGGGGACCTCGATCCGGGGCAGGGGGCTGAGATCTGGCAGCTCCTGGCTGGCCCTGCCAGCCCCACCAAACCAGCCCCACCCTATGGCTGGTGCTGTCTGATACTCCCACCTTGTGCTGGGGTGGGACAGGAGCCAGGCCGGGGTCCAGAACCCCCTCCTGGGTCCCCCTGGTGGTGCAAGGCTTGGCAGGATTTAACCCTCTCCCTTCATGGCAGGACTTCAAAGAGCAGGTCATCCACCACGTGGCAACCATCATCCTGATCAGCTTCTCCTGGTTTGCCAACTACATCCGAGCGGGGACCCTGATCATGGCCCTGCACGACGCCTCTGATTACCTGCTGGAGGTATGGCCCGCCGGGACTCTTGGGTTCCCCAGCTTGCTGCCATCAGTCACAGCCATGAGGCTGTGGAGACACCGTGCCCGGCAGCTGCCTCCTGGCAAAGGCTGAGCACCTGGGGTGGGTGGAGAGGGTCTGACAGCACCAGTGCCAGGCAGGGAACCCATAAGGTCTGACTCCCATCTTCTGGGCTGGGCTGGTGGGGGGAAATCTCTTACTGTGTACAGCACCTGGCGCGCTGAGTCTGTGCAGCCCCAGGGTTGTGGGGGGAGGTCCTGGTTTCAGCTTCAGTGAGGTCACAAGGGGCTGGGCCTGGGTCCCAGCACAGCTGAGGACCGAACCCTGGTCCCCTGACCCATCCCCTCGCCTCCCAGTCTGCCAAGATGTTCAACTATGCTGGCTGGAAGAACACCTGCAACAACATCTTCATTGTCTTTGCCGCCGTCTTCATCGTCACCCGCCTGATCATCCTGCCTTTCTGGTGAGCCCCGGCCCCGCACCCATTGCGAGGGGCAGCCCCAGAGATGGGTGGGAAGGACCCCAGTCTGTTCCCTCCTGACCCCTGCAGACCTGAAGCATGTGGTGGGTGGGCTTATCCAAATGGCAGAGTCCTGTCTCTGGAAGCTGTGCAGGTGTCTAAATCCCCTTGGAAGCCTCTGAGGCTTTGGCTTCTGAGCCCCCACACCGGTCTTTGCCTTCCCTGTCGCCTCCAGTACCCCCCACACTTACTCAGAAATAACACCCATCCCTCCACCATATCCCTAGGAGATGGGGGCTCTGCCCCAACCTGACTGCGCAGACCAATGGCTGGTCTGAAATTCAGCTCACACCCCAGCTCTGGGCTATTCATACCCAGGCTCTGAGCCTCCTGGGGGCAGCTCTGGCCTTCTCTGCCTGCAAGAGGGTAGAGCCTGACCTGAATGAGAGCACAGGGGCCTCTGAGGCTGTGGGCTTAGGGTTCCTTTAAGAGGGTGAGGCGAGCAGCCCACCGTGAGGCTCGGGGTAAAGGGCAGCAAGCTGGTAGCTCACCGTCCCCGCAACAAAGCAGGGGCTGTATGAATGCTGATGATCTCTAGCTTGCGGGCCCATGCATGCCCATTTTACAGATAGGAAAACCGAGGCCTGGAGCAGCATGGCAACAGGCCTACCATGGCAGACGTCCGGAGCCCCATCCCTGTGCTGTGGGCAGCTAAGGGGACGGGATGGGACACCCCAGGGTGACCATCCTGCTTTTTCTTCCCCCCCCCCCACAGGATCATGCACTGCACGGTGGTGTACCCCCTGGACCTGTACCCAGCCTTCTTCGGCTACTACTTCTTCAACACCATGATGGCTGTGCTGCTGACGCTCCATGTCTTCTGGGCCTACCTCATCATCCGCATGGCCCAGAAGTTCATAACTGGAAAGGCGAGTTGGCAGAGTTGGGGAGCCCTCCCCCCCACTTTCCATTGGGTGTCTGGGGGCAGTCTGCCCCGCCCTTGCAGAACTGGTCACATGGCAGCTGCTGCTGCAGGGTGAGGGGGGACGGGGCTGGCATGGAGTCCTCTCCAATGGAGAAAAGCTTCCTACTGTATTTTCTCTCACATACACCCTGCCAGAATATAACACGCACCTTGCTTTTAAAAAAGCAGAAGTCGGGGCACCCCATACTTTCTTGTAGCGTGTAACTGGGTAGCAGCAGTGAGAGAGCAGAGCCTGTTCATTGGTCTGCTGCCCAGGCAGAGATGCTCTTACTGTATTCTTTGCATGTAACCTGCGCTCCAAGCTCCAGCTGCTGAGTTTTCAGGGGGTGGGAGGGGAAGCGCGTTGTATGCAAGAAGATATGGTGAGTGGCAGGTGGGGAGTAGGGGGTGGGACGTAGTCCCTTTTCTGCCATGGGGGTGGCTAAAGAGTAGGTGGGTCTTGAGAAGGGGGGTCCTGACTTGCAGGGAACAGAGATGCCAAAGCGACAGCAGTGCCCCCAGACTCCTGGGTCCCAGACTGTCTTGACCCTGAATCCGCTCCCCCCACCCGTCCCTTTTCTCCAGGTGGTGGAGGACGAGCGGAGCGACCGGGAGGAGACGGACAACAGCGAGGAGGAGGAGGAGGTGACAAAGAACGGGCCAATCTCCAATGGCCACCCTGTGCTCAACAACAACCACCGCAAGACCGACTGAGCAGCGCGGCCTGGCCCCCCACCCACCCCAGCCCTGCCCCATCCACCCCCCAGTGCCACAGGTCCCAGGTGCCCGAGACTTCACAAGGACTCTTGATTCCAGCCTGCCACAGTCTGTAGGGCAAAGACCCCCCTCCCCTCCTGGGCTAGCGGGAACAGCTGGCTCCTTACCGGCCCCCAGGTGGCCCCCCCCACCCCGTGCAGCCTGGCCGGCGGCGGGGAGGGGGCTCCTGCCCCCCTCTCTGCATTCCTCTTCACCCAGCTGCCTTAATGTCAACCCCGCAGGCGAGGCCTCCCCCTGGCAGCAGGGATCAGGCCTAGGCAGGTGTTCTCAATCCTGGTTCTTTACATCCCTTTTTTCCACCCCCCACTCCTGAGCCTGGCGTGGGGCTTCCCCTTGCCCCAGTCAGCCGTGGGTCCCAGCACTGCGTGTCTCCCTGCAGCGGGCTCCCCTCGCCTCCCTGGGTATGAACTCCAGCGAGGGGCCCGTTTGAAATTGCAGGGAAGCTGTGGAGCCGCCTGGCTCCGAGGCTGTCGGAGCAGCCAACGCCCGGCTTCTTCCGCGTGCCTGAGATCTTAGTCTGGCTCACAGCGGGGCTGGGCTTTTGGCCTCTCCTCCCACCCCCACGCTGCGTTGCAGACCCGGGCTCTCTGCCCAGCTCCCAGGTCAGCCATGGGCTCTCCACTGGTGGCAGGAACGCCAAACCTAAGTGCCTCCCGCCAGCTGCCCCTAGCAGGAACGCCGGGAACGTGGCCTCGTTTCCCTCCTCCCTGCCGGCTCGCGGATCCAAGTGCCTGTCGCCCTCCTGCTATAAGCTGTGGCGGCCAGGATAGCCGAGAACACTAGTGAAGGCAGTGGTGGGGGGAGCTGGAGCGTCCGGGCTCCCTTCCCGGTGCCTGCTTCCTTAGGAAGAGAAACCCCTTTGCCTCCCTTGTTGGCTGAGCAAATTGGGCTCTGACCCCATCTATTAAAAGCCAGGCCCTCCGGCGCCCTCTTGTCCCCGCCCTGTCCCTTGCCCTGCCCTGGCTGCCAAAGGACAAACACCTTTGCGATGGATGTGTTTTTTTTTTCTATTTATTTTGATATAGGACTGAGTGCAGACAGGAACGAAGGGGCCAGGTGATGGGGGGGGGACCAGTTCTGCCTCGCAGTGGGCAGAGGGGTTGGAGAATGGACCAGTAACTGAACCGCAGACCAAAATGGGTTTTGTTTTTGGGTTTTTTTTTTTTTTTTTTTTTTTTTTTTTAAGTTTAAATATATTAGAATGGAAACTAATAAACTTGTGTAAAGATGGACCCTGTGTGTGTGCACATGTGTGTGCGTGTGCATTTGCATGTGTGTGCCTGTGTGTATGTTTGCATGTATGTGTTGGACGGGGGGGGGGTGCTTGTGTGTTTGCATTTACATGTGTGGTGGGTGGCTGTGTGCGTGCCTGTGTGCTTGCACTTACATGTGTGAGTGGTGGCTGGTTGTGCGTTTGGGTTTGTGTGTGGGCGCCTGTTTGCATTTATGTGTGCGGACACCTGTGTGTTAGCAGTGTAAGAACTACTTCACAGTTAGGGCGGCTAGGCTCTGGAACCGACTTCCAAGGGAAGTGGTGCTGGCTCCTACCCTGGGGGTCTTTAAGAAGCGGCTTGATGCCTACCTGGCTGGGGTCATTTGAGCCCAGTTTTCTTCCTGCCCAGGCAGGGGGTTGGACCTGAAGATCTGCAAGGTCCCATCTGACCCACTTCTATGATTCTATGTACTTGCACATACATTTGCCTTTCATGTGCATGCATGCGGGTGCCTGTACATTTGCGTGTGCAAGCTTTGCGTGTGTGTTCCTGTAGCAGAAATCCCCGTGTTCCTCCTGAAGCCCCTGGAAGGGCGAGCGTAGGTCTCTGCTAACTTGTCAGACCTCTTGCTACTGGTGGCTTCATTGCCACAGTTGCCATCATGCAGATGGAACCCAGATCGTCTGGGCCAGGCGGCTCCCCTGCTTTGGGTGAGAGGCTAATGGTAGCAGTTGGCACCTTGCAAAACTGCTGAGGGCACGGTTGTGGATCTCCCTGGCTGGCTCCATGGGGAGGTTCCTGGCATGCGGGTCCTGCCTGGCTCACCCGGAAGGACCCAAAGGGAGGCGAGTGCTGGGGGCAGAAGTAGGCCCTGGCTGCGACTGGGAGCTGGCATGGTTGGGAGTGGGCTCTCCTAGCCCAGAAACAGGTCGAGTCCCCAGTGCCATGGAGTACCTGCCTGCCACAGCCTGGTGGCTGAGCCTGAGTGAGGGGGGAACAGGAACACAGGGATTTCAGGGCTGTCTGCCTCTGCGAGATGCTAGAACATGCGTGCGCACTTGCCCTGTCTCCCCTGAGCAGAGTCCTATGGAGACAGCAGCAGCGCCTGTCTGTGTCTTGACAAACTCCTTGCTGGGGCAGGGCATTGGCAGTGCTGTTGCATCTCTGCTTCACCCAGGGCAGGTGAGGGTGACTAAAGCAGAGCTGTGCTGGGTTAGGCCAATGGCCCATTTAACCCAGTAACTGGCCATAGCAGAAGCAGATGCTTCGGAGCAGTGGTTCTGCTTGCTAGACCTAAGGCTCCCCCCTTGGAGCTCTCGGTTCTTGCTCGTGTTTTAAGTGCACAAATCACTAGAGCAATTGTTCTGCTGCAAAGAGCTCGGCCTACAGCAGGGCTGTGCTTTTCACACTAGGAATTTCTATTGGCAATCTCGGGTTATTATGCAATTTGTTTGCTAGGCCTCTTAGTACTGGCAGTGTGCAGCAGCACCCCTGAAAGCATCTTGTGCTGCAGTGCATTAAGCCCTGGTTGAGAATCGCTGCTTTAGAGGGACAGTGTCTGAATAGGTTGGCTGGTCCTAGAGGGCTCTACCTCCTGGCACCTGCTGTCCTTGGTTTAGAGACACCAGAGGAAATGTCTCTGCCTGTTCTGTTTTAATGGCTATTTAATGGATCTAATCTCCATGAATCTGTCTAGTCCTTTTCTAAGCCCAGCTGTGCTTTCTGCCTCTCCAGTCTCCTGTGGCAATGAGTTCCACATGTGAACTATGTGCTGTGTTAAACGGGTCATCTACTCTTTTGAGCAGTGCTCTAGTGTTCTGGGACTTGGTGAACAATTTCCTGGTCACTTGGTCCACATCTTTCATGATTTTACAGACCTCTCTCCTCTCCCCCTTCAGCTTTCCCCTTTTCAAATTCTCTTAGCCAAGACTCTTAGCCTTTTTTTAGTCTCTCTGTCTGGTAACTGCTCCAGGCCTCTGATCATTTTGGTTGCCTTCCTCTTTGCCTTTTCTAGTTTTGGTGCTCACGTCTCAAAAAGGACACAGTAGAACTGCATGGAGGTGGGGCCATGCCATGGATTTGTATATTGGCATGGTGATGATTTCGGCTTTGTTTTCAGTTCCCTTCATGATGCTGTGTCTTATTGGCTTTTTAGTTTGCCGCTCCACATGGAGCTGATGGTTTTTAGAGAACTACCTACAAGGACCCCGAGGTCTGTCACCGGAGTCGTAACAGCTGGCTCAGAACCTGGTGCTGTGCATGTATAACCTGAGGTTATTTTCCCCTGCGGGCGTCTTGGGGCACAATGCCTGGCAGCTTGTAGCACAGGGTAGTTCATGCCATAGGTTGGACAAGCTTTGTCTAGGATGCTTCAGATCCCACTGATCCTGCCCTGAGCAGAGGGTTGGATGAGATGTGATCTCTGGAGGGTCCTGGCAGCCTAACTGTACTATGTTTCTGTACTGTGATGGAGAAGTTTGGTTTCCATAAACTCTTTCCTCCCAGCAACTCAGATGGGAGCTGATGCATACAACCCAGGCCACTACGGAGGTGGCAGCCATCCATCCATCTGGCTGCCTTCTTCCAGGGTGAGTCATGGTGCACAAGACCTAGCAGGAAGCTGCTGGCTTGAGAAGGAAAATGCAGCCCAGGCGGCCCGTCCTGGCTGGGAGAGGGGAGGCTGCTTGTACAGCTGGGCCGAGCAGGGACACTTGCAAGGCAACTCAACTGGAGGCATGAAGTAAAAGGCCTCGGCATGAAGTAGCCACACACAGGCTGATTGCATGTTCAAGGCACAATACCTGGCCTGTCTGGACCCTCTTGCCAGGGAGGACATTTGATTGCAGAGTGCAGTCTGCGTGCCCAGCCCTTTGCTGCCTGAGGAGCTGACTAGGATCCATGACAGACCCAGGAAGTCCAAACATGAGCTCGGTAGCCAAAGTTACCTCCTCCTGAGGTAGATACAGGGACAGGGACCATCAAGGCCTGTAGTGCCTCTCATCCAAGGAGCTTGGTGTAGCAAGACGAGCAGACCTGCTGCTGTAGATTTGCCCTGAGAAGGCTGAAGAGCTCATCATAAAAAGGAAGCCACATCCAGGCTTGCTTTGCCCACTCATCAACCATCACCCAATGACGCAGGGACTAATTGAGAAACACAGATGTCCTCTCAGTGTATTTAGTTCCTTTTCAGCACAGCTGGGAGAGTCTGCCACAGCTTTGGAGCACTGCCTTCAGCTTGGGGACAAGCCATGGATTTCCCCTCCCCAGTTTAGTTTGTACCAGTCAGTCCAGATAATGGAAGGGGACGAAATCCAGCCAAGTAGCTCCAGCAAACTGCCAAGAAGCCACGAGCTTTCAGCTTTGCATCTTCCATCTGAGTGTCTGTCCTCAAAGAGGAACCGAAAGGTTTGAACACCAGCCTCTTGCCAGCTGTTGCAAGCCAGGGCTCCAGCACTTCAACCGCACTGGTGGCACGAAGTGGGTGTTTGCTCAAGGAAATGAGCTTGAGCTCAAGCAGGAAATGAGCTTGGGCAGGAAACTTGTTAAGAGTGTGTTTCGAGCCGAGTGGCCACGTGCCTTGTATGCAAGCTGGCCTTGGCTATAGTGAACAATTACCAGTGACGGCTCTCGGTATGGCTTGGATTTTGGCTGCAAACTAAACATCCCCCTGGCAAAAAGCAGGAGAGACTTAGCTCTCTCTGACCTTAGCATGCGAAGTGGAGGAGGCTGATAAAACCCTGGAAGATGTTTGAAATGAAGTAACAAGCGAGGCACCTTCAGTCCCTGGTGTCATTGCTGCCTTGAAAGCCAGAGGGAATTGGTCACCCTTCATCCCCTTGTGAAATACCTGTTATTCCCTGCTGTATAACTATCAGGGCCTCTGGGAGGGGGAGGGTGATAATTGAGCCAGCCCGCCTGGTTCCTACTACCCCCATCAGGCCAGCTGTAATAGGATTTGGGGCTCCACTTTGCTCCTCCAGCTGCTGCATGCTGCTACCTCAGGCCAAGGGCAGCACAGCCTGCAGTGCCAGGGACCTAGTAGCCTTGTGTACTCATAGAACAGGAAAGCCCATGGCAGAAGACTTGAACAAGGTGTGAGGTGCACAGGGCAGAGAGGAGAGGTCTGGGGACAGCCTCTAGCCCGTTAGAAGTCAGCCAGCACTGAGCTAAATGATCACTTTCTGGGCTGATTCAAGCAGGGCCAATATGCCTTGTGCAGGGGGAAAGATTACACCAGACAGCCCGAGGCCCTGCCAGCCTGGCTTCTCTCAGAGTTTACTTCCCTTCTGGAAGAAGCCCATTCTTTCACACCTGCGTGACCACAGGGGCAGGTAAGCTCAAGGGCTCCAGCAAACAGCAAGGCAAGACTGTGGGTGACAACAGAAAGGAGACCGGCTGTCATGAACACATCAGACTCAGTGTGTCGGAGCAAGTGAGAAGCACCTTAAGTTCGCAGTAGCAGGAGGGGGTTTATAAACAGAGGAGTCTTCTACACGCAGGCTTCCAGCCACTCCAGCACCACGCATTGTGCTTTGGTAGAAAAAACCCAGACTTTATTGCTTTATCTTTTTTTTTTTTTTAAAACACTGACAAGATTTTTTTGTGCAGTCTCCAAGAGGAAGGAGCACAGCTGTTGTCTTTTCCCTAAGCCCAAAAGGTCTGACATAAATCCAGTGTTGGTCCAATCTGACTGGGCCTTGGAGCTACCACAGAAGACCCCCCCAGCAGTGTTACCAAAAGCTTCCTTAGACACAGGGATAGAGAAAGAGGGGGAGGGACAGAGAGAAAGCAAATGCTCAAGTTGCCATGAGGAAAGATTTGCCTGTCTCCACCCCAAATGCTTCCCTCTGTCAAAGTGAGTTTAGCATTTAGCTGCTCGGGTTGGGTGGAGGGCTCTATCTGTAGGAACAGACGCTACTCCTGAGGTCAGAGCCTAGTCGTAGCGGTGGCAAAATTGAGGCTGTTTATGGAAGTGTGTGTGTGTGTGTGTGTGTGAAAACGGCGGAGAGAGAGAGAGAGAGAGTGTGTGAGATGCTGGAGTGGTTCTGTCTGCCTCCTACAATGGAGTCTCTTTGAGCCTGGGCTCATGAGCAAAGATCACAGGTGGCATTGCTAGGGCAGCATCTTACCTGTCCTCACCCCTACACCTAGGACTATTGCTAGTCCTTGTAAAGAAACAACAACTCTAAGCCCCTCTGTGACAGGATGCTTAGAAATCCTCCTGGCTCCAGCCTAGAAGGAATACAGTGCTTCCCCCATCAGACAGAAACAGAGAGAAGGACTTGTAGGGGGGGGAGGGGGCATTAATCTGCCTCCTAGCAGGCTCACAGCAACCGGCCTCGGCATCCAATAGCCCCGCAGCAGCACAGAAG